TTTCTACAATCGACTGCTCCCCCATTAAGAATTGGAGATTTAACGATTGAAATGTATCAATCGAAAATTGTAAAACTCACATTATGCGAACATTCTTTGTACATGAAACCAGAAACATTATTACATTTATTTAATTTTGAAAATTGTATCGATCATATGCACAATTGGTTATGCGAGAATACATATCTCGTAAATGAAAAATTTAAACAATTTGAAACTGTATTACAACGTAATAATATTACTATTGTATGCGATGCTGTAAAAACGATACGTGAGAGTGATGTCTTTGACAGCGAATCATTGATCGATTGCGAATTATTAACATGTGCTGTAAATGATATTCTTTACGATGCATGCAATAAATAATTATTTTTATTCAATCTATGATTTTATTTCTTTCCTTCCATACGAATAAGAATAGTCGACAATTTTTCTCAACACGCTCCGCCAAAGATGTAGAGAAATGCTGAGGTAGATGAGACGCGATGCTCTAGTTGGAATGAGACGCGAGATATTAAAAAGATATATAATGAAGAGGAGTCTGCGACATTAGAATATTATTTCGTTGTTCTTTGCGTTTCGTTAGTCTTGTGTGTTACGTTAGTGCAATGGCTGAAGAAAACGTAATCATCGGTAATGAAGATATGGATGAATATGATGTCTGGATGGATCCCGTTGTGGTGGAAAAAATTGTGATTGAGAGAGAGAGAAGAGCGAAATGGAAGAAATTATATGCGAAAGAAGATTCATCTGATAAGGAACCTGATTTCGATTTTCGAACTAGTGATGTTGAAGAATTACTTCAGTATGAGCGGGAACAACTTTCGAAGAGGAATCTGGAAACCTCAGTCGTTCAATTTATAAGAAATCGTGAGCTCGGCTTGAAAAAACCTCGCACAATTTCGTTGAACAGATTTCTCAAAACTCGAAAATATTGTGCGAACTCAGTTAAAAAATGTGATACAAGTTTTTGTTTTGAATGTATACATGCGGAAGATCCTAATCACACTAAAGTAAAATGTTATGGAAATAGACTACGTGAAGAACTTGAATCATGTAAAGATATAGACAAATTCGAAGAAGATGTGCATGAGAATATGCTACGACATGACTTGGAAACGTTGAAGGTAAAAATATTTTTGCTAATGTGTAATAAATTTAAAACATTTACAATTATTATGTTTAATTTCAGAGTTTACGAGAGTACATGAATAGTCGACGAGAGGGACAGGAGCGGAAGTCCCTCAGCCCGACACATCGCCCCTAGTCTTCCAGGAGCGGCTTCTCCACCCCCCCCCCGCACCCCCAAATTATTATTATTATAATTATTATATTATTATTATATTATATTTTATATTAATCATAATTTTAAGTACATACACACACACACACACACACACAATTGTATTAACACACACATTTTAATAAATTTTATATATTTTAATTGAGAAAAAAAAAATCTAATTATTTACGTGCCTCTCCTCGCGTCCCCATCCTTGCGTCTCTCTTGCGTTAGTTATAAGCATCGCGATATCGTTCTCTCTTGCACGCGTCATCTTCGCGCTATGACACAGAAAAATGTATAACAGATTTTAAAATAAATGTTGTTTCAATAAAAAAAATGTGATTATTTACGCGTCTCTCCTTGAGTTCCATCCCTTGCGCTATCTCTCTCTCGCGCACTAGTTGTAAGTCTCGCGATATTATCGTTCTCTCTCGCATGCGTCGTCTTCGCGCTATCGTTCTCTCTCGCACGCGCTAATTGCAAGTCTCGCGATATTATCGTTCTCTCTCTTGTACATGTCGTCTTGGCGCTATCGTTCTCTCTCTTTCATATACTCGTTGTTCACTTACCTTTGCGTCGTCCTTCTCCCACCTATACGTCGTCCTTGTCCCACGTTAACGCCATCCTTGTCGCACTCGTAGTACTGTCCTCTTCACACTTTGCACTGTCCTTTTCCCACACGTAGCGCTGTCCTTCTCACACCACCGTCCATCTCTCACACCGCTGATTCCCCTTCACTGCGCGGACCCCCTCGTCCATCGGTCGCGCCGCGGTTCCCCCTTCACCTCGCGGACCCCCTCGCCCATCGCTCGCGCCGCGGATCCCCCTTCACCTCGCGGTCCCCCTCGCCCATCGCTCGCGCCGCGGATCCCCCTTCACCTCGCGGTCCCCCTCGTCCATCGCTCGCGCCGCGGATCCCCCTTCACCTCGCGGACCCCCTCGTCCATCGGTCGCGCAGCGGTTCCCCCTTCCCCGCGGGTGACGTCACCCACCGCGCGCCGCGGTTCCTCCTTCCCCGCGCGTGACGTCACTCCCCCCGCACCGCGGTTCCCCCCGCGCCTCACCCCCCCTGAGAGGACCTGAGTTAGAACTCTCCTTGTATACCTACTCATATGTTTCTTCCACCCTTAATATAAGCATGCATTTTTTTTCCACCGTTGTAATGAAATTTTCTATTAACACGTTTTTACGTTCTCGAAGATTATTCGCGACCTCACGCTGTTCAATAGTTTTTTTCATATAATCACGAAATTCTTTGCAGAAATCTTCTTTTTTTGATGTCTGTTCCCGTCGGTCAGCTGCTAAATCTTCTAAAGCTTTTTGGCATGAAACTATTAATTGTGCTCCCTGTTTTCTGTTTTCTGTAATATATAAAGGTACAATTTCATGGTGTCGCGTGTCGCAGCGATAAGTGGTCACGTGACTGAATTCCCCACTAGTTTGTTCGTTTTCTTGTCGCCAGCGACGCCGCTGTAAAGTTGGATTGAACCCAACTTTTAGCGACGTCGCTTGCTTTCACGTATATGATAAATTTGAAAAGAAAATGAGTTCGAACATGGAAGAAGATGTAAGTATAATAAATAAATAAATAAATAAATTTATTAGATTAAAATAGTCAGATTAAAAAATCGAAAATGATAACAATAAACGATTAGTAGTGATCTAATTTGTTATAATTTTGAGGTTAACTGTGATCACACATTCCATTAACTGTGTACAGTAGATTGTTAAAATTGCGATAATTTTATGATATTTTCAGATAGCTCTTGTACAGACTTGTGGAATTTGTGAAGTAATCGTTGATAAAGAAAATATTCCGACTCATGGTTGTGTGGAAGGATACACCCGACTGTTTGTTGATAAAAATTTGTACTTCTATCCTGTAACAGGTATAATATGTATATATTAACTTAGTTTTTATATTTTATTATCGAAAAAAATAGTTTTCTACTAACATTTATACTATTATTTGTAGATGATAATAGCATTATTCGACGAAGCCTTATTAACAACAAAGAAGTCGTCTTGCCGGTTCGTGAAAATATTCGAGGTAAATAGAAATTGATTGAAATCCTGAAAGTTGTAATAAGAGCCGATTGTTTCAACTTCTTGGTAAGTTTTCAGATAAATTCTAAAAAAGAGATGAAATTATTATTACTATCTTATATCGGAGAAAACTTACTAGAAGTTGGAACAACCGGCCCTAAGTCTGCATTTACTATTTTCTAATAAAATAGATTTTAGGAACTATAATACTTTCTGAAGTAAACAAAGAAACATCACAGGGGACAAATAAAAGGTCTATCAATAAAAGTGATAATCGAAGAGCCATAAAGTCAACGTTAAATTACGATGATGAAGAACTTTTAATTTTATCCGTACAAGAAAGAAGACCTCTCTGGGATTTCACTGTTCCATTAGAGCAGCGATGTCAACGATTGACAAAAAAACTGTGGGATGAAGTATCTGAAGCAATAGGAGGTAAAGAGAATATTAAAAACATTCGTGGCTAAAATACTTTAAAAAATTGTCTCTTACAGGTAAACTTAGCGGGGAAGAAGCGAAAAAAAAATTTAAAAATTTACACGACGCCTACCGACGAATTATTCATTCCGAAAATCACCCTAGTGGATCGGCTAGACCTCCCCCTACAAAAAAATGGCATCATTACGATTCTATGGAGTTTCTGCGTGACATGTGCCTTGTCAAAAGGTATTAAATTAAATATTTTGATTATGTATACTTTCGAACTGTTTTGTTTCTGACTTGTAATTTTTATATTTCTAGAGGAAAAGTTTCTAATATTGACGTTGATGATTCTTCACGTATTAATGACTCAATAAGTAATGGTGATGCAATTGGCGATGACAATGATCAATCAGAGTTAGACGCATCAGGTACTTGACCTACATAATAATTAAATAAAAATTAATAATAAAAAACTAATAAAATAATTAATACAATAATAATAAATAACAGCAATAAATTGCAGGTGCGCCAATTAAAAGAAAAAGGAATTCGGGACAGCAGTCTAGCGCACTAGAAAGAATTGCTGATTCACTCTGTCAGCCACCAACTCCATTTGTGATACCGCCAGCACCCAAACCTGATGAAATTGATTCTACTGTAGCAATTATTGGAAGTAGGTTGAGACAGATGAATCGAAAGAATCAATTATATGCTATTCAACAAATAATGATCCTAACTTATGATATACTTAAAGAAGAAGAGTTTTATTGAATAAGTCTATATTCTTTTATTTTTCTGAGAAGAACATTCAGTTTGATTTTGTTTATTTAATGTTTAGTTTTGATTTGTTCATTTTATTCTATTATTTAATTGTATTGTTTCAGTCATAACTATATATATATATAATAAAGTTTATAATAAAATTTATATATGTTTATGATAAAGTTTATGTATCTTTATAATAAAGTTTATATATATTTCTAATAAAGTTTAAATTAATTCTACTGTTATTTTATTAAAGTTTAAATTAAATCTACTGATATTAAAGTTTTACTGTTATTAAAGTTTTACTGTTATTAAAGTTTAAATTAAATCTACTGATATTTTATATTTCAAGTCAAATTACATATGAATATATAAAAATATAATATGTAGATATATATTATAATATACATTATATTATTATACAATATAATTTTAAGAACTTTATACAATATAATTTTAAGAACTAACAACGATGGAATTGCCAAGGTATAGCACCTTCACTATTAAAATATTTACAAAATTCTTCACGAATCTACATTGCTCGACGAGAGCTATTATTAGAACCGCACTGAGTAATGTCTACGAATACACTATTATCTATGCAACCTCTCCAAGAGCCTGGAACAAAGCCGTCATCATCTTCCTGATCAATTAGTGTTGGAGTAACATATTGATTTTCTCCATCATCAATATCTCTCCGACGAATCCAATTATGAAGGCATACAATAGCTTTCACAATTGAAATTGTTTTTTCCATGCTACAATTGATTGGTCGTTTCAAAATTCTCCATTGGCTGACTAGGATACCAAACGTATTTTCAATTGTTCTCCTGGCTCGACTCAATCGATAATTATAAATATTTCGCTCGTCGTTTAAACCGCCTTTTCCTGGATAAGGCCGCATCAAATAATCTGTCAATTGAAAGGCTTCATCGCCCATCAGAACATATGGCAAAGATGGTCCACCTGGGCTGAAAGGTTCTGGTGCAGGTACATTCATTTCCTTTGAATTGAATTTTAAACCCATCTTTGAATCTTTAAAAATACCACCATCACTGTGGCGACCATAGGCTCCAATATCGACAAATGTGAACATATATTGCGCGTCACAGATTCCGAGAAGCACAATACTATGACTGTTTTTATAGTTATAATAGGACGAGCCTGCGTTAGGTGGACACTGGGAAAAAAATCATATAAGCATCAAACTTGTAATTTCAATGATAAATATACCATTGATCAGATAACATTACCTCAATAACAACATGTTTACCATCAATTGCTCCTATACAGTGATTGAAATCCCATTTCTCTTGAAATTCTTTAGCAAGATATAACCATTCCTCTGTAGTTTTTGATGGTGGCATAATTTCTTGACGAATAGAGTTCCATATAGCATCACATGTCTCACCTATAACATGGCTTATTGTTGATACTCCAGCGAGATAATGAAATGACATCGAATGCATTGAATCACCAGTTGCTAAATATCTAACAATAAATAATTAGATCAAATATTATTTAATAATTAAAGTAATTCAATTATAAATAAAGACAAATAAACCTCAATGTTATAGACAATCGCTCTGCAGGTGGTAATGGTTCTCTAATTACAGTTTGTTTAGTGACTGCAGGTGCTACTAAATATAACAATTCCTCAAATTGTGTAGCTGTCATACGATAATAATTCCGGAATTTCTCTGGCGTTAGTCTCGGTACAGATGCATAATAAAATCCATGTTCACGTCGTTTTTCAAATAATGGATCAATCCAAAATCTCTTTTTTTTATATTTTTTTTTTAAATTTATACATTCATTAATGCATATAGCTGCTATTAGTCTATTTCGTCGTCGTTCCTCCTCATTTTTATTGTGCATAATCGCGGCAAGTTGACAGGTCCACTCGTGATATCTTTCTTCATATGACATTTTGAAGTATTTATTTCACACGACACAAGTCAAATAATCGTCAAAAATATCGCTAGCCCATTTACACGAGCGGCAGTCAAAGTCAGCGACATATGAAATCACGTGACTCATTTGTCGCTAAATCTGAGCGACGAGCGACACCATGAAAACGTACCTTAAAGCACGATTAAAAATTGTTTTTGGCACTATAGTAATTTCAAAAGTATTGTAACAGATCATTGTACGTTATCAAAAGCAATTTTAAATATTTTAGCACGTAAACAAAAGTTTGACTCAACTGGACTGTTTTACATGAGGCAGAAGCATTGCTAGAAGAGGACAAATCGTCGACCAGATTTTCGTAAACTATCGGAGTTTCATCAGTCATTGCTACGTCATCCGTCACATTCTTGTGTGCTAATGACTGCAGTCTATATATAAAAAATGAAACCATTAACACAATTAATAATTAATTGAAAACTCAATTCAATTTAAAAATTTTATTCTTCAGTAAAAAGGTACTGCAATACTTACGGATGGAGTACTGATTGCGGTGCACTTACACCAGTAGTTAGATTTATTGTGTTTGTGCGAATTCTTAAACCATCATTTGAAGAAGTCACGAGAGGTAAGATATTGTGTTTATTTCCCAGTATTTCGGATAGTTCACTGTTAACAATATGTCAGTATTAGATAAAATATTAGGTCAAGTATTAAGTCAGTATTAGGTCAAATATTAGATTATATAATACTAATCACTTTTAAAAAAATTTCTCAAGGAGAAATGATAATTGCAAAGACATCTAAACGATGTCAAATAGATACTTTTTACATTTTGATTCGATATCTTTTCAATCATCAATTTTCCCTCAATTCAACACTACTGACTATGTACCTTTCGTAACTACATGTTGTCCGTCCTCTTCCTGTTTTTTTATTGTTTGTACACCATATGCTTATATGCCCGTTCCATCGTTTTAAATTTGTTTTCAACTTGTAGCGGGGAGACATTATATCCAGACTTTGTCATCGTATTAGCAATATGAATCTACATTGATTTTAATGTTTTCAACTTTCTGGACGGAACAAGTTTTCTATTCTCTCGATATAAAGAAATAAAAAAAAATAAAGGAATAAAAGGAATAAAAAAATAAAGGATATAAAGGAATAATAATAAAAAATAATAATATAAAGGAATAAAAAACATTTAGTAGATTCGTCACTCCATGAAAATGAAGAATCAGCACCATGATTCCTTTTAATTGTGGCAGATTCATTTGTTATTGCTGAAGTAGATGTTTCATCAGCAGTGTCAATATTATTTGTTGTTGCTGAAGTAGATAATTCATCAGCAATGTCAATATTTGATGCATTGTTTGCTTTATCATTTAAATTATCTAATTGAATCTGATACAGTATCCAACTGGGCAAATCATTGCCTTGGCGTCCAATGATAGTGAATTCTTAGGAATTAAGAACTTCAATCCATCTAAACAATTTAATATACCAAAAAACATAAGTATAACAATAAATTATAAATACTCAAATACACGATTATTTAATTTTTATCACAATAAAAAAATTATAAAATTGAATAATAATAAAATAAAAATCTTTATTTGAAAAATAACGTACCAAAGTTTTAACAATAATTGAAATTGCAATTAAATTAGCTATATTGAATAATTTCTATTGAATAATAATATATTTTTCTAACCTTTGGACGTGCAGAGAATTTTGTTACCGCCGACAATACAATTTTCTTTGGAATCTCGAGCAATACTTGCAAATTTTCCTTGCAAATTTTCTTTTTGTATAGTGAACAGCTAAAATATGTGTTAATATAAAATATTAAAAATGTCATTAATGAACATCTTTTAACATCATAAAAGCATTCATTTTAATAATGTAATAGCTGTTTCATAAAGGTTTTACCGGTAAATATTTCTTCGATGTTCAGGTCTCGTTGATGTTAATCATGCATAGGTTATATTTCGCGGGAATCGTAGGTATACACTTTTTACAAATTTCACACCTCCTCAAGACCAAGTGTAAAAAGTATAGGGAAATCGCCACTATAGTGTAGCTACACTCGCAAAACGAACAGCGTACTCTGACGTCACTTCTTCTAAAAGAAACGTGATAGTGTACACTTTCTATAAAAGTGGAGAAAGTGTAGGTAAAACGAACAAACCTTATAACACTACGGAAAAATTATTGGCAATTGTATGGGCTGTTAAACATTTTAGACCATACATATATGGAACAAAATTTAAAATTATCACGGACCATAAACCTTTAATATGGTTATTCAATGTAAACGACCCCGGATCGAGATTAATCCGATGGCGATTAAAACTCGAAGAATATGATTACGGAATCATACACAAGGCTGGAAGAGCAAACGCAAATGCCGACGCTTAAGTCGCAACGCGATACCGGGACCATCGCTGGAAAAGGATGAAGAAATTCTAAAGATAGAAGAAGAAGAAGAAACAAATACTGATAATATAAAAACATACACAGAAGAAGAGAAAAAAACAGATATTATCAGAGTATCACGATGCACCTATAGGAGGGCATCAGGGAATTGAACGAACAATTAAAAGAATCCGATTACAACATAATTGGAGAGGCCTAACAAAAGATGTCGAACAATATATTGCAAAGTGCGAATCTTGCCAAAAAAATAAATTATCAAGAAAAAACAAAGTACCGTTAGTAATCACGGACACGCCTAACAAACCGTTCGAAAAATGCGCCTTAGATATTGTCGGACCACTAACCATTACCACTAATGGAAATAAATACTTGTTGACTTTCCAGGAATTTAACAAAATTCAGTAAAGCAATACCGATACCGAATCAGGAAGCAAATACCGTTAGCAAGGAATTTGTTACAAAAATAATTTTCGAGCACAGAATACCGGAAAAAATCCTGACGGATCCAGGAACGAATTTCATGAGCGAAATCTTTAAAAATACCTGTAAGTTATTGAAAATAAATAAAATCCAGACAACCGCATACCATCCGGAAAACAACGGCGCATTAGAAAGATCTCATGGAACATTGGCTGAATTTACGTCATTACATAAGCGAAGATCAAATGGACTGGGACGAATACCCTTTGCGATGTTCACGTACAATACAACACCACATACCGCCACGGGATTTATCCCCTTCGAATTAGTTTACGGGCACCAGGCCGAGATACCAACCGCATTAACGAAATCGCCCAAACCAACATATAATTACGATGACTACGCGCAAGAATTAAAAGAAAGACTACGTGCAACTAATCAGCTTGCAAAAGAACATTTAAAAGAAGAAAAATTCAAAGCAAAAAAGCAGTATGATAAAAGTACAAAGGAAGGACATTTTAAAATAGGCGACAAAGTATTGATTTACGACGAAACTCTACGACGAGGGAGATTAAAGAAATTAGAATCGTTATGGACTGGGCCATATACGATCTTAGAGAAAAATTCAGACGTAAATTACACCGTAAAAAAGAGAAGAAAAACCGTGCGCATGCACATAAATAAATTAAAATTATTCATAGAAAATTAAGGAAAAAAATGAATAAAACTTACCAGGAAGGAGGCTGCAGCACCCCGCTACGGCCTGCGCGGCGCTCACAGGCCAGCCGCCGAAAACTGCGACGGTCCAGCTGCCGCTGGAAACGAAGACGGGCCCACAGCCCAGGAAGATCCAATGGTTCCCAGGGCACTATCAAACGGACCTGCCGAGTGCCGGTAGATAAATCCATCTGCACCGACAAACCGTATGGTTCACGAAGATAAACACGGTCACACGCCCGACCAAAGGGCTCGGGAGGTAACACCCTCTCGTCGGCAGGCACTCGCGACATCAGTTCAATAAATTCTAACAGGCACTCCTCGTTAATAAACTTTTCTAAATTAGTATACATGATGAAAACCAACCGTTCACGATGGAATACAACAAGAAAGTGACGAAGACGAATAAGCTAACCGTGGAGTTAGTCAAGAAAAGTAATAGATAAGAAAAAAGGAAACGCAAAGAAGACATAATATAATGCCTAAAATATATAATTACAGAACACTGACGCTGAGAATCAACCCCGTCCGCACCAAGAAAGATGAAACCCGTCTTCCATTCGAAGTGACGGAATTTGATAATACGCCGGGAATATATTATGAAAAAATTGGACACCTGCATTAAACCAACCGAATGTAGAAGCTAGTTATTAAATTAGATATAACTGAACTAAACGATAGAACATGGCAAGTAAACCAGTACAAACAAGCAAGAATGGACGTTACATTTGCCCACCGTTCAATTGGACACAGTTCTTTTGCGCACAGTTCTTTTGCGCACATTTCTTTTGCCCATAGTTCTTTTGCCCACAGTTTTATAAACCCATGTGAAATCCCAGTTTGCGTTGCAAAGTACACGCACAGACTGCAGCCCCCCACGCCCGCCCCGTTGCAAACCCATGTGAAACCTCCCTTTGTATGTAAAAGTATATGTGCGCAATTGAACATATGAGCAAAAGTATTGTGCGCAAAAGAACTGTGCGCAAAAGAACTGTGTCCAATTGAACGGTGGGCAATCTTATGTGTCTAATAGCACGGTGCGCAATTGTAACGTGTCCAATTGTACTGTGCGCCAATGAGCCACTCCCTTTACCCACCCGATGGCGTGCGGCTTCCTTCGCCTTACTGTTTTTAATGTAACTCTTGGATCTGGGAAGATGTTGATATAAAATGCTGTGCAAAAAGTTCGCGAAAGCATGCAAAGAGCTGTTAATAGATAACACTATAATTCTGAGAAGAAAATTCTGTTTATGAATCTTTGGCAAACCATAGGCTCGTGGAATAATCCCGTCAGTAAGTAAGAGGGATTTATAACGGCTAATAGAAATATAATCAAACTTTCGCCATCTGGCCAACAAAGATTTCAAATTATTACAAACTTTTTTAGTGGAATCTTTGGTTATAACTGTGTAAGTGCTGTCATCAAACAAAAGATTCTGCATTTTGGTGATGTAAATATCCCTGTCCAAAACCACCGTTACATTTCTCTTATCGGCTCTAGTAATAATAATGTTCGGATGATCAGACAAAAATTTTTTGTAAGTTTAAGTTTACCAATGATATCCTTTTCCAATTGTTTGCGAGCG